TAAATTTAAAAATATAATTTATATATTTATTTATTATAAATTTTGCATAGATGATTTAGATAAAAAAAAAAAAAAGAATAATCTAATAATAAATTATATATATATATATATATCATATAATATTTAATTAAAAGTAAGGTTTAAATATGTTTTTAGTCTCTCAAATTTAAGATAAATTTATTTTTGGTCCCTCAAATTTAAAACTGTTGTTTTTAGTCCCTGTAATTTTTAAAAATCTTGTTTTAGTCTCTTAGGTCACCAATAACATATTTAAAAGTTACTAATTAAGACAATTATGCAATATCGACCGGATTTAATGTGATATTTTCACTAATAAAAATACTAATAAGTAGATTTTATATAATAATATTTAATAAATTTTTTAACAAAATTTGAATATAAGGACTAAATTAAAATTTTTTAAAATTATAGAGATTAAAAACAATAATTTTAAATTTAAACGACTAAAAATAGATTTAATCAAAATTTGAGAGACAAAATCATATTTAAGCCTAAAATAATAAGAAAATTGTTGGTACATACCCGGTGGTGAAATGGTCGCCCGGGAAGCCACTCACTTCAGTCAAAGCTGACCTCCAATTCTTCACTCTTTGGGAGTCTTTGCCAAGCTTGTTTTGGTGTGCAATCATGTGCTCACCATAACGGTTACTCTGATTCATTATATCCGAGGGATCTACATGGTAAAATATTGGGAAAACACGTTGTTTCTTGTGCCCATTCTTGGACCGTTGTAGGATCAACACAAGTTCATCAAGACACCATCTGGAAGATGCATAGTTCTCAGAAAACACAATGATAAAAACCCTAGATTGTTCAATGGCTTTGGAGAGAGCAGGTGAAATGCTTTCTCCCATCTCCAGATTCTTATCATCGATGAAAGTGATTATCCCTTTTCGGGACAACGCGCTACGAAGATGCCCTATAAATTTTTCCCTTGTGTCTTCCCCTCTAAAACTCAAGAAAACATCATACGGGAAACCAAGGGACTCTTCCTCATCATGTTGTGCCATGATAAGGATACTAGGTAACTGCTACAAGAAGATCGAGAAGGGGAATACACGAATAGTGAATTACTGCATAAGTCCAATTTAGTGTCTTGCGCCGGTGCTAGCTTAAATACAATTTTCTACGCGGTATGTTTCGCTTTTAAGAAAAGAATAAAAAATGTTTTACGTTGATGTATCACTGACCCACATGAATGAAGTTTCTTGGAAGCTCCTCTATGATTTATTTAAAGAAATTTGAAGACTAGCCTTGGGTCTAATCGATCTGGAAGGGTGATGACCCAAGACACGGGTTTCCAAATTAAAAATAAACTAGGGTTTGAGTCTAGGGGGAAATTTTTAATACTTGTGGTACAATCCTTAGTGTTCTTTTTCTAAAAGCTACACTTTGCAAGTTTGAATTTTTCAGCATGTTCCGACAGTGCATCGAGGAAATAAATTATAAATTATATTATACATGATAGACCAATATATTAATGCTATAATTCATGTAAGTGGGGATTTTGTATCTTGTTATAATGCATATTCACTTCCTAGTTTCATTTTTCGTTTACTAAATTCATTATTAACTATACCGCTAAAGGAATGTTGTCATGCTTTATTTTTTGTCATTATAAAACATAAAAGAGTTAATCATCTATATATTGTTAGTGTAAAATTTTTTTTACATTAACAATCAATCAGATATTTTAATAGTGTTATGTCAGTTGCTTATTTAATAAAATAAAAATAAAATAAAATATATTAAAAGATCTGATTAGTCACAGTATAAAAAATTTTTACACTGTATATTAATAATTAACTCAACATAAAACAAGGTTGTTGTGCTTTTCTTTTCAATAGTACTATCCTCCCATTTTGTTATTGCAAGTTAATTAAAAGGAAAGTGAGGTGGTAAGCTCCGTGACATATAAAAAGTAAAAGTTATTTAAACAACGCTAATAAAAAACTAGAAATTGAGCAACCTAATTGTATTAATTACTTTCAATTAATATTTTATCTTTAATTGTGATATTTTAAAATATTTGTTTACTTGTTCCAACTCTACGAGATAATTAAGAAAAGCACTATTCCAAAAACATTTCTTATTCTCAGCCTTTTTCTTTCCTGAGTTCTTAGATTTTATACAAAAGAATCTTTTTATAAGTCTATTGTTCCAACAATTTAAATCTTATAAGACTTGCATACTTTTTATTTGTTAAGTTTTATTTTTTTTTTTACATTCTATTCTTTTTTTATTTCCTCTAGTCATGATATGGGTTGAATGTAATGATACAAGATGTTTAAAGGTATGGACAACTACATATATGCTTATATTAGTCATATAATATAAGTAATTGTACGTATGTCTTTTTTGGAATACTAGTGTAAAATATATATTTTTTGACATACTTTTTATGTTGGATGTCATCCACACAATATATAAAGTGGTGCATTGACATACTTGTAAATATGTCATAATATTTTATGATAGATATTGACTTACCTATTATAGAATGTTATTTCTATGATGGGTAAGTCAATAACTGCCATAAAATTAATTTGTCGATTAGTCTTTGACTTTAACTATTCTATGATAGGTGTTGACTTATCCATCATAGAAAATTTATATTTTATGATGTATAAATTGTCATCCACCATAGAATGTATTATTATTAGGTTATTGAGAGGGTGTGAACTCATTCATGCTCTCTGTTTTTCTTCTTCTTTCTCTTTGACAATGAAGCTACCATTGTTTCTGACGACTCGTTATGCACACTACCCACAATTTTTAACAATGATCATGACCAAAACATTTTGGCAAACAATTATCCTTCAATTCCCTATCACTTTGGCAACCTTTTTCTTCCATTTTTCATCGCGCATGGTACCATGTGTGAAGGTTTTTTCTCCTTCTTCCATGGTTTTAGGGTTTGTAGTGGATAATGTGGGTTTCTTGAGAACTTTATTTTTCCAAGTTCTTTAGTCTAAGGATGTTCTTTAGTTTGTTCTCCCTTCTTTGTCACACACACTTTGGCCAAGTTCATTCTCTTTTCCCAGCCTTTCAATTTTGTGCACTAGTGTTGTTTGATTGAAAATTATGTGCTACCAAGTGTTGTTGATATGTTACTTAATTGAGAACTCTATTTTATTGATAACACTATTTTATTGAGAACTCTATGCATATGGTGCTTAGGTGTGGGTTTGAGGTTTGGGAACATATTTAGTTTAGTTTGTGGTTTGGCTAGCTAGTTTGTTTGGGGCTGATATATGTGTTAAATTGGCTTTGTTGTGTGTGTTAATTTGGCTCTATTATGGGGGTTGGTTTGGGACTATTGTAGTGTAGTTGTGGCTTTTTTTATGCTTATAATAGAGTTATTTGGAAATTAATGTGGTTATTTTGTTACAAAGTAATGGATTATTTTGGGACTCATTTGAAAGGCTTTTTAATAGCTATAATGGACTTTTATATTGCTTTGCTAAAGTATGTTAGATAAGTAATTTAACAAAATTTAGAAATGTTATATGTGCACACCCATAATGTATATAATTAAATAAACTTATAACATAATTTAGGTTTACTTAACATAGAAATGTTTATTTTTAATTATTACCAATAAATGTGAGTGAACCATAGTTTCCCATTTGAAATTGAATACAATGGTTACACAATTAATGTATAATCATTATATTGAATCTTGAATTATCTATTTGGACAGTTTGGAAATATATACATTTTTATAGTTTATTAACATATATAAAAGTTAAGTCTCATTTTAAATTTGATAAGATTTTGCTTGACTATATTTTTTGTTGTTCTCTAGGTGCATATTTGATTGTGGTGAATTCGATGTCACCATTTTCATTTTGTGTACTTAGAGACCAATGCAAAATGTTATCGAAATTTTTTCAAATTTAATGTATGAGTGTTGAGATTTCCGTTAAAACACTTTTATTTAATTCTAGAAATCAGTTAAATTCTATTAACGGTCTCAAACACGGCAAGTATACCGGCCGTTCAAGTAGTAAAAATATCGTATCCACAGGGATTAGAAGGTAAAATAAGCATTTATTGACTATTCGTGACTAAAGAATAATTCCAATTTGTAGTTTGTCATGTATATGAATTGAAGAGCATGACTACTGGAATGAAAGCTATAAATAAACATTGGTTTTAGAGTGGAAAAAGGGTAGAAATGGTATTGTGGTTATGAGAGATTGTGGGGGTCAGATTTCACCAGACATAACACTAATGTATCATTAATCTCTTGTTACATACATTGCTTAGTCAACCCATAAGTTTACTCAAACCTAATCCCTTAGAGAAAGAGCCTAGGTGCGGATATTGAATATCAATCCCTTGAGTACCCAATATCTACACCCGCATTACGGGCTAGGGTTTAAGACTACTAATGGGTCAAGCTCTATCCCTAGATACAATCACCACTAGGCATATGTTTCAGAACTAGTTTCAATGGTATTTCCCAATACTCAATGGAACCTTAAATCATGCAAAGGGTGATCAATCCAAAGCAAGCATTAAGCATAGAAACAAACACAACAATGAATGAAACAATATATATATATATATCATTAAAACCGTAAAGATTACAATAGAGTATGTTGGTTACATCTAACCCCACAAAATGGGTAGAACCACTCAACAAAGAGGGTAAATACAAAAATAGAGATGGAAGAGGAAATGAAGAACCAAAGGAAAGATCCGCACACGGACGATCCCAAGCCCTGGGAATCCCTTCCGCAGCTCTTAGAGGCGCCCAATGTGAGAATGGGGAGAAGAGTCCCCGAAAATGCCTTCAAATACGAGTCTGTGAGATCAGATTAGGGTTTTGCGTCCGGCGCGTAAGTCTTCGCGCCCGGCTTACGGTCTTTCAATCACTCTCTGTCGCAACACAAGCCCGGCGCAATTTCTTTTACGCCCGGCGCGATGGCTTCCAGAGGTGAGATATTCTATTTTGCTCGCCCGGCACGGGTCCTATTGCGCCCGGCGCAGTCACTCTTCTCTGCT